GATTCTTCGGGTGACCAACCTGTGGGGAGTGCACACATGTGTGAGGGGGAGGGGTGGAGACCTCAACGCGTGGGGCACCAAAAAGTTCCTAAGGCGAACGATATCTTTAAAATTAATTTGCCAACGTAGATTGCCCCTAGCCCCCACCCCCAAGCAGTATTCTTAGGTGGTAGCCTACGTTACGTCGTTACATCCTAAACCAAAGGGCGGATAAAGTGAGTCCGTCAAAGCGGGCGGTGCGCCTGACTACTGAACGCTAACGGCGTGTGCATGTCAGGGACAGAGCTACTGAAAGAGAACAATTTAATTATTATATCCCTAACTTGGTTTAAAAATTGTATCAAACAACATGGTCATAAGGTTCATAAAGTTAATGCTAAATTAAATGATGGTGTCTCTCAGTTCCTTTTTTCAGTATCGCTCACGTGGGACAATCAAGCCAAGCAGAACCGCGGTTCCCAAAAAATCTCGTGAAAAAAGACAACTTTTTTTTCTCTTCTGAATTCTACCTGCGCCGATCACCGGTCTGTGAGTCCGATCTGCATGCTGTAATACAATGACGGAACAAAACTCTATCCGGATCACTTTCTATGCCAGCTCGCCATGAATGAGACTGGGGAGGGGGGGGGCGGGCGGATAGAGATAGATAATAGAAGGAATAGAATCGCTTTTGCTTTACGCGCAAACGAGCGGGCTAGAGCTCTGGTAGTTATGCGCAGAGACCATGCATTATTCACCAACACGATATCAACCGTGTGGCTACGGCCTCCTTGTGGGAACTGCACAGCACAGTGTAATAGCTGGTACAAACGCGCCTACATTGCTCAAAACGTATTTCAGTCTACGGAAAAAAACACTTTTAGTAATTCCACGAAGTGCTCAAACAGTTAACTGGTGTTGAATAAGATACTTGATAACACTTGCAGGTGTTCAATTCCTCTGTTAGACGAAGTACGCCCAAGACTCATAATGCTCACTGCTTTCACTGCTTTGACAGTAAAAAAGCGAGACTATTAAAAGGTTTTAACCACATATGCTGAATAGTTCAGTATGAACACACGGAAGTACGAAAGTGTACAACTTCCAGTCCAAACCCTTGCAAATGCTTGCTAGTTGAACACTTCAGATATCAGTATATCAAGAAGATGCCCCAGTACAAGATGAATCTTACGATACATCTGAGGCTGGTATAGCCTGCCTCCACCAGTCCCTCTCTTCTTGCCGTGTTATCGCATCCCAGGCAGCGCCAGCCTTGCAAGGTCAGACGGAACCTGTAACCGGCCGGATTCAATGCCCCCAGAACCTGACCCCTTCTGTGTCTCCGTCCCCCCTTCCCTCCACCACTCCCTGCCCCCCTCTATCTCCCCCCCTCTCTGTCTCTCTCCCTCTAGAGGAGCTCCTCTCCCCGGATCCTTGGGGCGTGGTCGCGTGATTTTTCCCAAGGTCAGTGCAGGACGTATACTTATGTTTGAAACCATTCTAACCATTCTAACGATTTCCCGGTCCTCATTTTTATACGGTAGCTGCAGTCGTATCACGGTTTAAAATTTTAGCAAAACCAGTAGAAGATGAAAAAAAATAATGGGTCGGTTAGATGGTTAGATCCTGCTGGATTATAGTTGAGGTAAAAACATTGCATTTACACTGATAAACCAAGTGTTCAACTGCTCAACACTTGTAAGTGTTTAACCGCAAGTTCAATACTTGCAAGTGTATAATTCAGTAGTAGTACACTTGCAAGTGTTAAATTTGATAATTGTGCACTTGTAAGTGTTTAACTCTCCTGTTGTACACTTCTCTATACCGGTCGCTTACTGTGAGGGAAGTGTTCAACAGAGGAGTTGCACACTTAGAAGTGCACAAATACCGAGTTGAACACTTGCAAGTGTACTACTACTGAATTGAACACTTGCAAGTATTGAACTTGGGGTTGCACACTTACAAGTGTTGAGCAGTTGAACACTTAATTTATCAGTGTAATAGAGGCTGCTTTTGAATATATGGACTTCCCTACAAAATAGTTCGTAAATTTCAGAAACGCGGATTGTTTTGGATGTTTTAGGCTTATAGTGGAAGTTGACCTATCTACTGGGAGATTGCGTACTGCTTGTACCGGCCGTGCTGGTCAAATATTATTGAGTATAAAGGCCAGAGGACTGACCATTCAGAAATGAATAGGTATCTACATTTTTAGTACCGAACCTATACATCAAGTGAACTTGATCGCCACAATACCGCTTGGGCCGGCTGAGTGGCGTGCCGCCGGCGCGCCGTCCGACACGAAGGCGTGAAATGCCGCAGCCCGTTTGATGGAATGGCCGTCCTTTTTCGCAAGCTCCGCGGCCCAGCCCGCCCCGGGCCGCCTTGGCTCGGCATGTAGGGGGGAGATATTCATCGGCCGTAAGAAATGTGCACTGCCTGCTGCACGGGCTGCACGGCCCTTATGCAACGCGAAGCAGCCCCGCTCAGAGCGCCCGTGCTGGGGCCTGTCGGCTGAGGCCAGTCTGCTGAGGCCTGCGGGGTGAGGTCTGCGCAGGTCTGTCGGCAGAGGCTTGCTGCCGGTTGATGCTTTCGGTTGACTGGGGCTGTTCTGTTGAAAGCTGGCTGTGGTCTCTTTTCGCCTAGCTCTCCTAAAACGCCTCCTCTGGCCGACCGACACAGGCCGGTCTCGATCTGCGGTCTGTACTGACCAGCCGCTGGATGAGAGAGGAGGGTAAGGGGGGAGGGAGCGCCCCTTCTCACCTCTCACCTAGCCGCCGGTCGGCGTGGACGGATCGTGGCCTGGCCTGTGCCGGTCGGTCAGAAGAGGCGATTTTGAGAGAGAGAGAGAGAGAGAGAGAGAGAGAGAGAGAGAGAGAGAGAGAGAGAGAGAGCACCTTGGTTGCCTTTGTTGACATCGGCCGGTGCAGGAAGAGCCACCAGAGAGGAGGAGACCATGGCGTGAGCCCAGAGACTAATGGTTGGGAGCAGGGCAGCCCTAAAGACGTTGCATTGCGCTCACACACACACACACTCACTCACACACACACTCACTCACACACACACGCCCGCGTGCAACCTTGCCTTACTTTCCCACGCTGGTCGGCTCAGTACTGCGTTAGTTGTGTCTCCCCGCGACAAGATGTTGTGCTGTGCGTTAGTAAGCTGACCCGCCCTTTCTGTTGCAGCACACGCGCAGAGACGCGGCTCGTACGGCGCCGGGGTCACACAGGCCACCGAGTTCGACTGCCCCGAGGAGTTCGGCTACTACCCGCACCCCAGCGACTGCACGCAGTACTACGTGTGCGTGTTTGGCGGCGCGCTGCTCGAGTCCTGCACGGGAGGGCTCATGTACAGGTAAGTGACACCACCGGGGACCAGCTCGGCGCCTGCCGGCAATATGGTAGGCCACCCGCCAAGCTCCTCTGCGCAGCACGCCACAATTTGCCTAGCTAACAGGCGTTATCATCTAGTTTCGCAATTTTCCCCTTTCTCTTTCTTTCTCTTATCCAAAGACATTTTTTTCCAGCCTCCATAAACTTGGTTTTAAGGCATTCTAATTATTTGTTTCTCTCTCTACTCTCTTTCTCAATTTTAAATAATTATCTCGGTCTGCCCGAAAGGATACTCTACATGCAATGCGATAGAACAAACTCCCAAATTGCACATTTCACCCAGGTGTAAATCCTTCTCTTGTTCCCTTCATCTCTTGCGCTCTCCGGTTCTGCGCCAGCCCAGCCCACACACGTCCCACTCCTCTCGACCGACCACACCTCGTCGCTGTTCGAGTGACATACGGCCCAAAACGAATCTAATCTCAATTCAAACCCAGTGCCGCCCTTTTAGGAGTGACGGATGTGGTGGAACCCGTTCAGTCTAATATTATGACTATTGCTGTCAGCGCCTCGCGCCTCACGCACAACACAGTGAGCAACGAGGAGCATCGTGCGCTCTGAATTGTTGCCGTTCATGCACAGACATGCATGCACATTACGCATACATCCTCACATACTTACTCAGAAAACACGTTTTTTCATGTCAGTGTCAAAATTTGGTTATTTTGGTGGCCTCGGGGTGGCCTGCATCGACGTCAATTTTACATCAAAGATTTGAAATCAAAATGACGCCGAATCAGGCCAACTCAATGACAAAATCTTGACACAACCATCACTTTTCTAAACTTCTGTTTTTCAGCCACGAATTGCAGACTTGCGACTGGCCCCGCAACGTTGGCTGCGGTGCGGACAGCGCGGCTGACACCCCGACCCCCGCCAGGAGCCCGCCACCCGCACCGCGCACGCCGCTCAGGTAAGACAGACTGATACTTATGGGTGGGTGACCCATAAGAATGAAAGAGGGGGCAAACGACAACAAAAGTGGCTCTCAAGCCTGGACCACTGTTTTAATAGGAAAAAGATGAAAAGTCTGGAAAAGTAGTTTACGCGCATAACTTACAATTTCATTCTTGAGTTAATTATATTTACTTTTTTCTTGTCTCTTTCTGGGATACTTTTGTTCCGGGTCTGTCGTCATCTACGCGCCATATTAGTGCGGCGGCTGTTTAGTGCGTGAGCACTGTGTGTGTGTGTGTGTGTG